GGTGGTTGCAAGCGGTGCTGCGGGCGCGCCATTGGAGGAAAAGGTCTTGGCGCTGAACCAAGCAAATTCTACTTATGTGTCAGCATCCAAACATGTGAAAATGCACCTGGCCAAGCCGAAGGCTAAGGCTGACCCCAAGACGGCAGCAAAATCTGTTGCCAAGAAAGGCAGAAAAGCCTAATTTTGCTTTCTCCAGCATTATCATGATGCAGTGTATGGCATGGACCCTTGCATGTGTGGGGGTACGTCCGCTGTCCAGGTGTGCTATAGTTGTCCGAGCTCGTGTATCATTCACATTTACTTAAGTAGCCCTACTATTAATACTCATGTGCAATGTAGTACAGCTGGGACAGTGCCGAACATTTTGGATCATGCAGGGATATGCCTGGAATGTGTCATGTTTTACACGCCAAACTGCATATTGCACGTTAGGCGCCAAACCATACCGTGATAGCGGGTATGCCTGCTATATCTCGAGGAGGGACCTCCAGATCTAGGACTTGGCGAGACAAAAAATTACAGCCCTGCACGTACCTACACCTACGCCCCATCCTCAAAAACCGAAGCCACAGCTTGCAATCGCGATGCGCAGGGGAGGATACATCGTTCGCAGATTACTTGCTGAGCACCTTGGGCACCGGGGTTGCTGGGCCATGGTTTTTGCGAGATTAAGGTTTAGGGTTAAAGGGTATAGCGCTAGCAAGTCGAAGCCCCAAAGCATTTCCTGGTTTCAGACGTGTACCCATGAAAATATTGGCTCGCAAGGTTGGGCAGATTGGGTCAAGGGTTATCGAGCTTAGAGCTCATATGATTAATTATTATCGATTCCCCCATATAATCTATAGCTAGGAGCGATAATTAGGGTTTAGGGTTTAGGGTTTATAATCGTGCAGGATATTGATCTTATAACCAATACGTCATTGTTTACCCTAGCAGCTGGCTTCTAAATAATGAGGCTTCGTCAGCATGCGACCTTCAAAAGGCTGCTTCTGCGATGATTCAAGAATCTTCCGGCCATGCGTCTTCACTGACAAAAAAAATAGCTGCTGCTGGAACGAACGGCAAACACCGGCAGAATGTTGCTCGTGATATACAGAGGGCTTTAGACCTTCCAATTGAGGCTTGGTGGGTATTATTGTTGCGGGTCCAACATGCAGTTGTAATCTCAAAACTTTAATTGCGAAAGGCATCTTTCAATATCTACCGCCGAACACATGAGAAGTAAGGACATTCACTACTGCAAGATTCCTGTTCTTGATGCCGACCGCAAGACTGAAACCGATATGCAATCGCCGCTGCTGCTTCCTCATGAGGTCTATCAGTTTCTCTATGATACTTAGCTAGCATGCGCAAGGTTTTTTTGGGGGGGAATTTCGGTGCGGTATAGTCGCCTAGCCTAAACCCGAGAAACCTTAAAGTGAAGCATAAAAAGACCATAAGATCCGAACATTATATTTCTCCTATAGATCTCTAGACTTAGCGCCCCAATATCGAGGATGCGTTAACGCATCATGATGTCAGCCCTTGATCTTGCAATTGAGGCCAACAACTTAATCCGTGTGGACCCAAGTGAATTGCTGGAGTACTGGAGGCGCCAGTCTGCTGGCCAGATGAGGACCCCTGCTGGTGCGGATGGACCGTCCGGGCCATCGATACCGCTAGGCCTTTACGGGGACGATGCGAGGTTCAACAAAACCGGCGACAAGATTATTATGATCTCCATGAATTGTATATTGCACGAACCTGGCAATGGGGAGATCAAAAGATACCCCATCTGGACACTGAGGGAATTCATTAGCCTGGGACAACGGAGTGTTTATCCCGTCATGAGGCTATTTGCATGGTCCTTCAACGCCCCTGGGCGAAATTGGCTTCAATATGCTACGAGTTTTCCCTTACATATTATAAATAACAATCTGGAAATCTTGAACTCCAAAGCTCTGTATACATCAGGTCCTGTTCTATGGGGTACACCCGTCGCATAATGTCGATGGCGAGCAGCTGCCACCCTCGCAAGCCCAATTGGCCGGGACACAGATAGCAGGACCGCGCAGCTTGCCATGCCAGGCTAGTGGAGTCGATTACATAGTGTTTGTAATTATGTTTCGGGTTTACTTCAGGTATTGGGCTTAGGGTTCCAAGCTTAGGCTTCGCTGTTTAGGGGTTGAGGCCTAGGGGTTTGCGCTACGTGTGCAGGAGGAACCACTGCCATTCTGGCGGAGTATCGTGGGGATTGGAAATGGATGATGGAATTTTTTCATCTCACGGCCAACTGGAGAGCACGCAAACTGTGCCACATGTGTCATGCGCAAAGTACTGGACCTCTCGCGTACCCTGGTACCATATTGAAAATTGTGACCTTCAAGCTCATAATGCCTCCAAGCACTTGATTCAACCCCCCCCCCAAAAAAAGGAAACATAATTATATGTAAATGCCTAAACAATTCCTGGCTGCTCATCTACATATCCCTTCTCCTGTTGGTGGGTTTTAGGGTTTGGATTTGGGGCTATCGGTAAGAGTCAGATAGGTTTAGGCCATATATGCATGGACTTAAGCTACGTTTCCCTTCAGGGATAATTTCAGGAAATTTAGCTGTAGCCTGTATTTATTACAAGTTGAGGCTGAAGGCATGGACCCTGCCCCTGCAGGATGACACGCACACAGGTTTAATTTGGTAGTGCTAGCGCCGCCTATATACAGTATCGAATAATAAGGTGGTCGACGGATCTCGAGAGACAGTTCCCGCGCCGAACGGATCAGGATGCGATCCTTAATGCGATGGGAAATGTCAATCCGATCTGTGCTGTCATTGGATTTTCTCCACAACAAATTTTACCTTGCACCATGCATTTGATGAATCTTGGGCAGCTCCAAATCCACAACGGCTCACTGATGCAAATTCTATGCAGTGAAGGCGCAGCTGGATTTTGATCTTGCCTCTAGGAAACTAAAGCTAATTTAGAAAACTTGTTACATAATGAGATCTCCCTGCAGGATTCTTTGGCGCTCGCACAGAGGCAGATAAGCTTCACGAGGCTTCTGCGCGTTTTCGAAAATGGGCAGCCAGCAATCGTTTGGAGTACTTGGCCTGAATGTGTATGCGTTTTTTTGTTAGTCCGGGCTTGCAAGCCCACAAACCTTAATTGCCTTAGCCTGCACATGTGAATAGCTGAGGCATTCTGTTGGATGGATCACACTGGGAATGATGCACGATGCAGCGACTGGAAGTTTTGCTTGCTTGACACTGAAAGCTTACAACGGTCGCCTGTTTCTGGGTTTCTTGAATGTTTGCTTAGCTAGCCACATATCTTCAACGGCAGACACTACCCCGGAATGCCGAATGGCAAAGCTTTGTACGGATACGCTGCTGCTGTGGTTTGGCCAACAAGAAAATGCCTCGAGATTCCTGACTGATGAGACACATGGCAACATTAACATTCGTATCTTTTTGAAGTTCTGCCGTTAGTAATTTTAAGCTTGTGTTTTTAGGTGCAGCCTGAAATATATCCCAGGCAAGCGGCGCTTTTTCTGGAGACGACTTTGAAATACATCCGGATGTACCAGGCTTTGGCCAGGCATGCTGTGAAGCTGGGTTTGTTTCGATGGAAGGTGATCCCGAAAATACATGTTACTTGTATTTCGAGATTAGCACTTGTTAATATGCGACCTTCACCTAGCTATATATAGGTTTCTTCGAAAAGTTAGGGTTTAGGGTTTAGGGTTTATGGTTAAGGTACATTTTAAACATGCAATCGTAAGAGTGTTTTGTTCGTAACAATTGCGCAATAAGGTGCTGCGGCATGTGGGCGAGAATGCTGTTGCGTTCAAGATTAACCCTCGGTTCTTTCACACATACGTGGACGAGGTACTGCGGGTGCCGAAACCCTATTGCCCGAAAATAGCCCTAAGCCTTAAACCTATATATAATCACCCTGGACTATACCTTTAACTTTTACGGGCTACACCCTAAACCTTATAGCTAAATCTAATCCAAAGACCTTGAGTACCTATATAGTCTCCAGGACACAATCGGGCAGTGGAAACGCCTATGCCAGGGAATGCCAAGTATCTGGTCGTTTTATAGCAATATAAATTTAAGAGTGTAAACATTTAAAAATGTGCTATTATAAGTTTATCTCCGGATCCCATAAGAATAGTATATATATGAACGAACCAAGGTACGATGATGGAGTACCGGCTCATTTCACGGTTCTTGCTGCGATTAGGAGCTTACCGCAGGACTTCTCGCTGATAAGGTTGCACAGCTTTAAATTTAGGGCCCCATAAATACTAATTCCCTAGAGCTCCCAGTTAATTCTATAATTCAAATGCTATACGGTATACTTATATGCGCCCCTTTATTTAGCAACTGGAGCCCTGGGGAACTTTACGAACTAGATCTTAAATGTACTTCTTGCTTCTGCGAGGGTGCTGCGTGAAGCTGTTCAGTGCTGAGCCCTAGAAATTACTGTATATGATAACCCCCATCAAGCCTTACGTAAGCTGTTAAGAGCTCTGTACCTATATGGGTTAGCGCTGATGTGTTGGTCGTTGTGCAGCGCACACATCCGAATGACGCCAGGGTGCAGTGCAAAAAGACCAGACAATTGCAAATCTCTTTGACGAGTCGAATGATATTTAATGTGTAAGGGTTTTTGTTTCGGGAAGTAATTTGTAAAGATTTAGGTGAGGGTATTTGGATCCAAATTCCACAACTTACCATTAGGCTGCACTAGCCCCAGGGCCCAGCGCACCATGAATGCCCGAAAACATTAAACCCCAAATCCTATCCAAAATCAAACCTGCCTCGGCCTCTGATAGAGCCAGATCGTAGCTGTATGGGCCCAAACAAATCCAACATTTATATGAGATGACCTGATCAAAGTATACAATTGTTGCAACTCTACAAGCCTCGCTCCAAACCTCATTCTGTTTTCGAATCAGGCGCCTTGTATTTGAATTGGGGATGAAGTCTTTAGAGTTTAAAAGATTTAGGACTTGCGGTTTGGGGGCTTGGGTTTTCGGCCAAGGGGTCAGGGTTGTAGCAGTGAGGGTCGAAGGGTTGAGGGCTTAGGGTTCAGGGTTTAGGGTTTGAGTTTGGAGGCTTTGGGATTTAGGGCTCAGGGCTCAAGGTTCTAGTTAGGGCTTAGGAGAACTTTGTGTAGAGTTTGGAAATCTTCATCATATGCGATTGTTACATCTTGAGGCCTTAGGGGCGATGATGGATATCTGTTATAAAGTACGGCTGAATCTTTCTGAATCGGATTTCTGCTTATTATGCATGATTCCATGGGGGCGGACACGTAGATCCCCATGATAGCCCATGCTCCATTTATCGGATGGGTGTATTATATGCTCATACCCCCCCTGCCCTGCCTATCGGAATTTATCGGAATTTATCGGAATTTATCGGAAACCCATGATGTCATTTTTTGCGTACTTTGCCCTTTTGGTGACCCATGTTGCCTAGAGGGCTGCCTTTGCCGAAAGACTATCAGACCAGCAGTCTTTGGAGCCCCAGGGAATAGTAATAATCGTAATAATAAGTCTTACTAGCAATAACACTGATAACAATAGTAATAATAGCAAGAATAATGACAATAGTAAAAAAGAATCTAGTGGCATGGGCACAAGCTACAGTAGTATTTACACTAGGTTATATTGGCTCTCATAACCCAGAAAGGAAGTAGAGGCTTCAGTAGAATCTACTACAAATTCTACGGCAAATTAATCTATTGGTAGTAGTACTAGTAATATCGGATATAGGGTTTGGGCCTTAGAAATTGTGACTCCATTTACCTACACATTTAGTAACAATGACCGCCTAATTTGCAGGTAGAACACGTAAAGCTGTAGGTAAATGGAGCTGCAGGCACACCATTAACCCACAACCCTGATCCCTAAACACTGAATCGTACCTAGAGGGTCAGCGGGGCCAAGTCAGTATATGGGGGATTGTCAAAATTATGGTCCCGTTTTTTCGTCCCCTAAATCAGCCCCCGTATTGGGCCCCGTATTGTAATAGGGACCCAAAAAGGGACCATAATTTTGACAACCATCCATATACTTAATACCCCTGGAGGCCATATAAGAATACCCAAGTATCCCGACTATTGACCTGGCTACTCGCTTTCCCTGACCTCAACCCCAAAACCATAAAACCTCAACCCTAAGTGATATAGTGCTTTTCATGTTCCTTTCCATTTTTCCTAAACACTGAAGTCGCAACCCCGCAGCCCACCAAACTCGCCAACTGAAAGCCTGCTTGTGCGTTGCTTCGGGTTGCCGTGCATGTGACACGGAAGAGATCGCGACAACCTATTTAAGTGTAGGGTTTAGAGTTTAGGGCCCCTTTGAATCTAAAATACTTTGCATTTTCTTTTCCATTAGCCCTATTGGGATTATATAGGGTTTATATAGGGATGATGGAAAAGAAAATGGAAACTACTATAATGTTCTTTGTACACGTAGGTTTAGAATTCATGGACTAAGGTTCAAGGTCTAGGGACTAGTGACTAGTGACTAGGGTTTAGAGCGTAGGAATTAAGCTTTAGGGATCTGGTGTTGTTCTTGCAGCACCTCCTGTCCACCTAGGGATGGGGGTTGGGGGTTTCAGGGTTCAGGGTGAAGTGGTTACGCAGCCGTGTGTGGGCTGATACGTTTAAGGATTCACCACCTTGCTTTTTGACCAGGATTAGCCGTTGAAGCGATGAAGCGGCTGCGCAAAAGCTGATAACCCTGCTAGTGGGAGACGCAGAGATTCAGTCTCATGAATTTAAGAGCCAATGATGGGGGCCAGGTTGCTGCTAACAGCGAAAAAGAGCAAGCGGCATGAAGCTTGCCGTCCGTACTTTTTCATACTGCATGCCGCGCTACATCATGCATGCAAACATGCACTATTGCAAACTGCAACGGGAAAGGCAGCGAATAAAACCAAACTCTACGGCAAGCAGTGGACTCAGCATGCATAGCCTGCTAACCATGACATTTTTCGTACCTCAAATCAGGACGGATGGTCCCTAATACAGGGTATTGAGGGTATATAGAGGATAGACAGAGGGTCAAGGCACCTACTTCTTTCCAGGTGCTGCGAGCGTAGCATGCCGGCGAAATCTTGTTTCCCATCGAGGCCTGGTATTCTCGATGCCGGGTCGTCTATCCCGGAGGCAGGCCAAGGCTTCAGGTGAAGGTAGGACTCCTCCTCGGAAAAGTTGCGCCTAGCCATCTCCTTCTTGAATTGGCTGCCGGCTGCTGCAGGACCTCGTAGATGGTAAGAGCGCACTTGGAGGTTCAGTGCACGCAGTGCATGTACAGCCCAATTATAATTGGTACTTATAACCCAATCATAGCCATATTCAGGGACTTAGGCTTATAATTGGGTTACAACTGCAGTTATATTTGAACCATGACTACCCTGAACCTTTAAACAGGGTTCGCTGATATGCAGCTTAAACCTTATGGCTCAGGCATTGGAGTTTGCTACAAGGAACCCTAACCCCGGTTTTGAGTTGCCCGGGCCTATGCAGTGCTCATTTCAACATAGAAACTCAGAAGCAGATTGATTACACAACACCTGGACCAGTTCAAACCGGGCCCTGATTCTGAAATCCGCCGGCGTGCGGCTCTTTGTGGAAATGAGTTGAGCAATCTAGATGTGTACAAACTCAGCACTCCAAGCAATCCAAACTGGACCTGCGACATATGAAATATCCATCAATGATCCAGTCAAAGTAGATGTACCTTAGAAACAATTGGCCAAGGTTTTTACATATTTTCAGAACTAAGCATCATATAGATCCCCCCCAAAAGCGGTTTTTATGTTTGGGGGTTCCGAACCAAGGGACCCCTGAATCTTGGAAAGCCCAAAGTCCAGGTATTCGAAGCACACAAAGGATATGTGTAGTATAGGGGCCACTGCAAAAGATAAAGCAGGATTTCGGAAGAACTGTCCAAGTCTCGTTTGCAGGTTTTACTTACAGAAGATGTGTCCAACAAACTTAGAAACAGCAAGCCCTAAGTTCTACGAAATCATGTTCTGAGATCCGGCAACCCCTATCACAACTGCCCCTTTCACTCCTGAGCTTCCTTAAACCCTAAACCCTAGCCTCTGCTTCGTCGTCTATATGCATCTCCGCGCTCATGACCTTCTAAAGAAGCCCTGAGGGCCTAGTATACCATATTCGCGGTTTAAGGTTCAGGGTTTAGGGGACTCATACACTACAAATCATCATTTAGATTTGTGTTGAGTAGCTGATATTTCTGTACTTCGGAACCCTCAGGGACAAGTTTGTGGCATTAAGTTCAGATTCGAAGGGGTCTCCTCTGGCTTGGTGATGGTTTTCCTGTGGGTAGAGCCGGGTTGCTGTCAGGGAACTTAAGCTAAGTTACCATGGTATAGGTGTATAGTAAATAATGGGGTTCCCATATTACAGTAACTCACATCTAGGGCCATCTAGGTTCTTGAATGTTCTTGAAAAGCAGCCCAGCAGAGCTGGGAGTTTCTTCCAAGGGTACTGCTACCACTGCTGTTACCATTCCCACAACAACTAGTAGTAGTACTCTGTACCCGGCGGGGAAAAAACCCAAGAAACAGAAACACTGTGATATCATAGAAAGCATCATAGGGATTCCCCCTTGGGCACCTATAATATCATGATGATAATGACAGTATGACCCAATAGAAACCAAGATATCATGATGAAAATTCAGATTATGACCCAAATAGACACAATAATATCATGATAATAATGACAGTATAGCCCAAATAGAGTCCACAATATATTGATAGTAATGACAGTATACTCAGTTTAAAAGCTTCATGATGCTCATGTTACCGCAGGCTGCAAGTGTTCCGAGGTGTGAGCGCTTGTGGTT